TTCTTTTAGATTTACCAAATTCATCAACGTAATATTTCTGCTTTACATCTGACTACAATGATTATTTTGTAGGTAAATTTTGTAATTAATTATTGGAATTTGATTTTGAAGAATTTGTAATGATTTTTATTTATTTTAATTTAAAATTTAGTATTGGCATTTAGCACCAACAATGGCAAAAATTGGCCTTACGTAAATCATTCATTTAGAGAAACAACTTTAAGGTTTTTTATAGATTATTGCTTTGCTAAATAATAAAATCTTACCCAAACACTTATATTATTGTTTATATATTTATATATTATGGTATATTTATTTTTATTTTAAATTTCTAGTTGACTCGATATGAAAAAGAAAGGAATAAACCTTGTTTTTGTGTATTTGGATTCGATTTTTTTATATTTTACGAAATATATTTTAATATATTTAAACAAATATATATTAAATAAAATAAGTTTAAATAAGTTTTTCTCTAAATAAATCTATAATGTAAATGATTGTGTAATATTATGTGCTTGTACTCTATCAAAATTGTTAGTTTTTTTTTTAGGTATTGTTTATTTACTAATTTATGCATGTATTTGCTTTTAATATAAAATGTAAATCAGGGAAAAATTGTATATTTGTATGTTAATCAAAGAAATTTTGTTTTTAGATAATATTATCGATAACATCTGTCTATTTTATATCGAAAATGCTCACTTTTTAAATTTTCATATGAACGGAATATAACTGCAACATTATAACTGCGAAAATTATCCAGTAGTTGAGTTTCCACAACCTTTCCGTTGTTTAATCGGAAAAACCAGTTGATTTTCAACGGAAATATCCCTTTATTTACGGGAAATTTCCGGCAGCTGCCGATGACAAAACCTCCCGTTATTTAACGGAAAAAACCCATTATATTTAAACAGAAAAATCCCTTTATTTACGGAAAAGTTTCGGCAGCTGCCGATGACAAAACCTCCCGTTATTTAACGGAAAAAATCCATTATATTTAAACGGAAATATCCCTTTATTTACGGAAACTTTCGTTTACATCCGATGGGTTTTTCCGTAAAATAACGGGAGGATTTGTCATCGGCAGCTGCCGGAACTTTTCCGTAAAAAACGCGATATTTTTTTAACAGTGTACATTCAATTGAATTTCAATTATCGGCAATAATTACATTAAAACTTGGTGGTTAAGGTTAACACGAGTAATAGATATACAATCAAGAACTCATACTTTTTTCTACAAAGAGTTCTTTCAAAGTCGTTATGAAGAAGAAACTTTACATTATTTACATTTTACCCTGAATTGAATGGTAAATTTTAAAGCAGTTTTTAATATTTCGTATAGTGTGATATAAAATTTT